CTCTGCTGCCACCATCTCAATATCATCTTGCTGCAGGCGCTGAGCTTTAGTCGGTTTCTCCTTCTTTCCTGCGTCCAGCTGTGCTTTAGCCGGGGTTTCCTTCTTTCCTGAATCCACCTTCTTTTTCAAATTCTTACGCGGGTTCTCTCTTTCATCCTCACTGTCACTCTTCTCAGCTAGGTCAGCTCCTAATTCTGCAAACAGATCCTGACCGAACCACTGCTTTGTAGTCTGTTCTTTTGTTGGCTTCGCTGAATCAAAAGACAATAAAAGGGGGTTGGCCTCTTGATCTTCCTCTTCCTCGGAACCTTGGTCCATGTCAACATCGCTGCCATCATCTTCACCCCCCTATATCAAGTTGTAACATAATAGCATATATTGTCATCAAGTTGAGTCCATTGGCCATTCTATAAAAACAATGGGTTTCAAAGGCGAGGACAAAATTCATGTGGATTAATGTCAGTTATTACCTCTAACAGATCTGTATCAGCATCAGTATTGATTCTCTTGGCACGTTTGCGTTCTTGTTTTACTTCTCCACCTTTCTTTGTCACAAAACGTTCGTAAGCTTCATCAAGCATCTCCTCAAGTTGAGCATCATACCTGAGTAAAAAGACGTTGTGTTATGTGTCTCTGGAATTTTTATAGTAAATTTTGCAAGTGATGAATTTATATGACCAAACTATAATATTACTCCCGCTGATTCATATTACTTGTCGCTCAAACAGATGTATCTAGCATTGGAATACATCTAAATCATCCGACTGAGCTACAAGTAATATGGATCGGAGGGAGTATTATTTTTGGTGTGGGTATCTGAAAAATTACCTCTGCTGTTCTTCATCAGAATCCATTTCCTCATCAGAGTCTTCATGAGTTTGAGTCGCTTCATTCTCACTGTCTCCAGAGCCATCTTCCGCATTATACTCTGCTGACTCAACAGCCTGAAGATCTTTTCCACCCTATAGAGAAGTATATATCACTGAGTTCGCAAGCACAGACAACGTGAACACGTAAAAGCTAAAATAAGACATTAAGCTGGGACAGTAACTTGAGAGAAATTACAACAGAACCAAAATCACTTTTCCACATGTGCTCGCCGAATGATAATAAGGCCTAGATGACTTAGAAGAAAAACTCTTCTGAGAGAAAGAATGATGAACTTTCTGTGGTGTACAAGGCAAAGTAAAACAGATAGGAATACATAAACAGCAGGATACCTTGATAGCCTTAATAGAGAACAAGTCAGGATCACCATATCCCTCTTCTGTAGCATCAATTTGCATTCCTGTTGCCTTGCGTGCTTTATCCTGGAATAAAGAGACTGATATATCAGCACACAATTCAAATCAATGCCACGTGCAGCAAACAAGGCTTTTCATATTTCATAATGTAAATACCTTTGCACGACGTCTTGATTGACGCTTCTTATCTCTTCTTTTTTTCCTATCAATGAAACTTGTCAGGTCTTCCATTTCCTGTAGAAGTTGGTCATCATCGTTGACCTTGGTCTCCACCACAGTACCATCAGCCTTAGGTGTCACTTGGGAAGATGACGACAATGCTTTCCTTATGCGTATGCGCCACCTAACATAATATATATTAGTTTCATGAGATTGAAAGGCACCTCTCCACATGACACACTGATAGTAATAGACATGCTTGGATAATCATAATCTAGAAATAAACTTGATGAGAAAATAGAATAGGAAAAGATACTTACTTCAAGATATGCTTGAAGCTGTTTTTATCCAGCACACGTAAATCGTCACAAAGATTTTTTATCTGGCACACAACAAAACATAGAATCAGTCAGCATTATAACTAAGATTGAATACAAGTTAGGCAGCAGGAATGCAGAGCAAAGGCATTACTCCATTACCTCATCTGTAGTAAACTCATGATTCTTGATAGGCACAGATGCTTCATCATCAAATGAAATTTCTGTAACAGAACCAAGAAATTCCAGTGGTGTCTGAGCATCAGACCAAATAAAATCTGATGCCTGACCAACTTTCCTCAATACTGTGACTCCATCATCGTACCTGAATGAATCACATACAATAGAAATTAGTAATGTGGATCTCCCACCAGAGTGGATTATATAGTTCAAAGTTTGAAAGAACAATACAAAGGACCAGATGTTCAGATAATTTCAGTTCTTTACCATTAACCACTTAATAAAGTAGCATAAAAGAGGAAAGTTATCAGGGTCAAATTTCAAATGGCTAGCTGCTTATTTGACCCTAAAAACAGAACTAGCAAAAAAAAAGGCATCAATTAGTTTCAAGAAATGACACTGTGGCTGACTGCTACCAAGATATGCAGAGAAATGTTTTCACACATGTGATGCACCACTGCATAATATGTTGTTACCCTTAGTGTGAGAAAGGGAGAAGGCATGCCAGATCTGAACATAAGTTCACTGTGCTGTTCTCTTGTTTACACTAGCAAATGCACCAATATAGCCAGTCACTGTATGAAAAGTTCCAGTCAATGTAATACATTCATGGGTATTAACCAATATATGTGGTAAAATTACAGAGCTAGCAAAGCATGATATTCTCTAAATCTTATATCATTACACCAGCCATGCTTATTTATAGTCTATGAGGCACTGAAATACAACTAAAGTATTGTAGCATGACCCTCATTCCCGATGCATTTGTTGAGTAGTAGAAAAGCAGTACTGCAAGAAAAATGAACGTGCAAACTCGTGTGCCGACATAAGAAGGCATACTTACCCTTCACGCTGTCTTTTGTCCTTTTTATTAGTACCAAGTACATCCCTAGGCTGCAGAAACCACAAAAATGTAACATTAGGGGATGCTAACACATTAAAAAGAGAAATCGATTGAGTAACTCTGACAAATGTTTCAGCATACCATCTTCTTCTCGGGTTCGACGTTGAACAGGTGCTTTATGTCAAGAAGTTCTGGAGCAATCTTTGCTGGCGCTTTATATTTGAGACAGATAATGTAAATTTCGGCGGATGTGCCACGACTCGCACTAGGTTTAGTCACCTCAACCTTCTCAAACAGCTGAAATGCAAATGGGTTTGTTCCATGCGTCAACACACTACTATGAAATAAATAAAGTACTTGAAGAAAACCTGCGTTCAATACACACCTGCTTAAGACAGAACATGATAGCATTGTAATCCTGAGACCTGAAGACCTGTTGACAAGAAGAAGAAATACATCTGATTTTAATAGGTGCGCTTCACACAGGGGAACAACATCAAGAATCATTTGTAGTCCATGGCTATTTTTCATAACGGATTCAGCGGGCCAGCATTCGCGGCGGACCGCGTAGATACCTTGGTGATGAAGGCGCCCTTGGGGGCGAGGAACATGGTGGCGAGGCGGACGGCGTCGATGACGAGGGCGGACTGGGTGGTGGCCTCCTGCGCCCAGGCGCCGCCGACGTTGGGCGAGCCGTCGTGGAGGACGACGTCGAAGGAGGCGACGCCCTTGGAGTCCATGAGCTTGCGCACGGCGGAGCGGCACTTGGAGGTGGTGATGTCCTCGGTGAGGGAGTGCGCGCCGCGGATGGGGCGGATGGGCACGAGGTCGACGCCGACGACGAAGGCGCCGACGGGCGCGTGGTTGACGGCCACCTGCACCCACCCGCCGGGCGCCGCGCAGAGGTCGAGCACCGCCCGCGCCGTCGGCAGGAACCGGAACCGCGCGTCGAGCTGTAGTAGCTTGAAGGCCGCTCGGCTCCGGTACCCCTGCTCCTTGGCGAGGTGGTAGTACTTGTCCTGCCTCTGCTTCCCCTTCGCCTTCCCCATCGCCGCCGCGCGCCGCCGCCGCCGACGAGCCTGTGGAGGAGGAGGAGGAGGAAGGAGGGGATGGAGAGCCTAGCTAGGGTTTATGCCGCGTGGGTTCTGCTCGGCGGCCGCCTCGGCCCTTTTGTCGGAGCACCGAGACGGTCGACAGCCCGATGGGCCCGTTAATGGGCCTCTTCAGGTCTGGGCCTGGGATGGGCCCTGGGCCGCAGGGGGAAATTAAATCGTTTTGGGTCGTCGTCTCCTTCCACTCTTATCCCATAGCCACTTTCTCAGCTGCTCTCTGCGCAATGGAGCTAGGCCTCATGCTCCGGCTAGCCGCGCCGCCGGCCAGTCGCCTCCCCCGCCGGCATCTTCCACCGCCGTGCGTGCCAGGACGGGGCGGCGTCCGCGCTGGGAGGCGCGGGAGTAGGAGGGCTGGGGCTGTGTCGACGAGTGGGGGTGTGAGCTATGCGGTGGTTGAGGATGAGGAGGTGGAGGAGGGGGAGGAGATGGCGAGGCCGCGGCTGGAGCTCATCGAGAAGCCGGACCGGAGCCTGGCGCTGCTGGACGAGTACGAGTCAGAGGAGCTGGGGGCGGCGCTCTGCGCCAACCACCGCAGCGGTGAGCCTTCTTCTTCTCTGTGCTCTGCTTTGTTTGTGTACGTACCTAGCTGGATTTCATTCAGCACTCCCTGGCCAGGTAGATTATTTCAGTCTTTAGTGTTCATGATGCACCAAATGCAACCAGGAGCATTCTTGGTTCAGTAAAATTCTGGAATTTGTCATTGTGCAGCATAAATAAATGAAAAAAATTACAAGATTCTGGGAGAATTCAGAGGAAACAAGTTATCTGACAATTAATTTCTGAAAAACAATTGCCATGTTGTAATGCTGTGAGCCTGTGCTGTGTGTCTCCACAGGTTATGTTGCTGTGTTGGGGAAGCCGAATGTCGGCAAGAGCACCCTGATAAACCAAATCGTCGGTCAGAAGCTTTCGATCGTAACGGATAAGCCACAAACCACACGTCACCGCATTCTTGGTATATGTTCGGAACCAGAATACCAGGTACAACCTTCTAGTCTCCAAAGCACCTGTAGAGCTCAGTTCAAATGCAGTATAAACCAATGTGTCCACAGAGGATATCATGACGATTTCTGAATGCTGATCCGAGTTATCATTTAGTTTGCAGATAATACTTTATGACACGCCAGGCATCATCAAGAAGGAAATGCACAAGCTAGACTCGATGATGATGAAGAATGTCCAGAGCGCTATCGGTAACGCGGACTGTGTGATTGTCGTCGCTGATGCTTCCAAACTGCCCGAAAAGGTGACTGCCGACAAAAATAAAGGACTAGGTGAATGTCTTGAGTCTACCTTGCTTGACATTCCCTCTCTGGTTTTAGATAGATGATATGCTGGAAGCGGGCGTGGGAAACAAAGATACCAAGGTCCCTGTTGTGTTGGTACTCAACAAGAAAGATATGATAAAACCCGGAGAAATCGCAAAGAAACTTGAGGTAAGAAACTGAATAATATAGAAGTGATGGTTTTTGTGATTTCCTCTGTATACGACGGTATTTATTTCTTGACAACTCTTTTCACAGTGGTACCAAAAATTCACTGATGTTGACGATGTTATACCTATAAGTGCTAAATTTGGTCATGGAGTGGTTGATATCAAGGAGTGGATATTGTCAAAGCTTCCACTGGGTCCTGCTTACTACCCCAAGGTATCATCACTATGGAAGATGCAAAAGTCTCTGAAGCAGTCCTAGTACTATGCATGGACAGCCATTTTCTTTATCATGTAGACCTAACAAATCAAGTAGAAATGTGCAATGCAACTTAGTAACATGCACGAGTTATTTATTTATTTTTCTTGGCCTTAATCTCAAGAATCAACACCTTTTGGTAGTACGAAATAATCAGTGGTTCTGCCACTTTGGTTAAGAATGTCTGCCTGATTGCTGATGTGCTCATGCCAAATTTGAATCCTGCAATTGTTGTTTTGATCAGTCTTTCTTTTACTGAGATGTACTAATCAATCTATCGTGTAGGCGATGTGGTAGTTTTACATTTTTTCTTCATATTTTATTATGCACACTGAATAATGTGTTAAGCTATGGTTAACTGTTCTATGAGTTCAATTGCTTCCATCAGTTGCAAACCAATACCACATTATCTTATAAGATGATCCTAGTATGAGAATCTTACCATCATTGTAACACAGTTCTGACTCCCGAGACAGCTTTATATAAGCTGACTCTGTGAACTCGGAGGCATGATAATTTTAATCAGCACATTTGACTAACTACTACTCCCTCTGTCCCAAAATAAGTGTCTCAACTTTGTACTAACTCTAGCGCAAAGTTGTACTAAGGTTGAGACACTTATTTTGGGATAGAGGGTAAATCAGTTGTGCAGAAATATTCTTCGAAATAGAGGATATGGGTTTTCATGACTTCTCTACTTTTTTTTTACCTGTTACTGTAGAGTAATCATCCCACAGCTTTAAACTTTATTCCATCACACAACTTCTCTACTTGAAGTCATTATGATGCTAAAATCATAGCCTGGAGCCTTTGTTGGCTAGATATTGTTTTTACAGTTTTTTGGCATATCTGTTAAAGGTAGTTTCAGCTCGACATATATCTGTTAAAGGTAGTCTCATGTTTGTCCATTAGATGGTCTATTACTGCATTCCAGGTATTCATTTCGATGTTTAGCTACAGGGAGCAAGTCCTGAGATTATAAAACACTAAATATATTGTGCATGTTCTTTGTTCCAGGACATAGCTAGTGAACACCCCGAGAGATTTTTTGTGGGGGAGATAGTGAGGGAAAAGATTTTTCTTCAATATAGGCAGGAAATTCCATACGCATGCCAGGTATATCTTCTGGTGATTTCCTCAGTTTAGTGTATAAGCTTATCCGTTTTGCTAGCCTGTTTGTGTGATGTAATTTCTGTTCATGACAGGTTAATGTTACAAGTTACAAAAGCAGGCCTAGTGCCAAGGATTTTATTCAAGTTGAGATACTTGTTGAGAGGGAATCACAAAGAAGCATTATACTTGGGAAGGTAAAGCAGTACAAAACAATTATTTGTGTGCAGTATTGGATATTTCAGGATTAGAAATTCAGTTAAGTTAAGCATAACAAGACATTGAAGGATTTTGCACAAACTACCTTTTGGGAATTTCGTGAATTGCTAAATGTATGTGTTGTTCTACAAACTTTTGAATAGATGAAACGAAATTAAGGTTGATCTTATTATTAGAAAAGGAATTGGGTCATAAATAAGAAGATATATTTGGGGAATGAAACAGTTCCTACCTTAAACATTTTAACGAGCAAAATGATCATGCACTACGTTCCTCAAACGCAGGATGGGAAAGCTATAAAGACGTTGGCAACAGCATCCAGGCTTGACATTGAAGATTTCCTTCAAAAGAAGGTTTATCTTGAGGTCATAACTTCTTCCTTCTTCTGTCGCATGATCACCCCCTCTGTTATTGTTCTAGAGCAGTTTGTAATCACCGCATACTATTTTGTGAGCAGATAGATGTGAAGGTGAAGGAAAACTGGCGGCAAGATGAACGGCTTTTGAAACGTTACGGCTACGGTGGGGAGATTCAAGCGCTATAAATACAGGCGTGACGTCATCGCTTATCATGCATGGGAGTAGGAAATAGTCGTGTTTCTTCTTTTCTTTTCTTCTCACCCTCGTTTGAGTGAGGTATTTAGGTGTTGAATGCAGGTTGAATTAGATCAGTTATTAGTCAGGAACTCTTACCAAAATTTGATGTAAGCATCTGGTGGACCATGAAATCGTTGCTTCTCTGTAGAAACTGTATTCAGCTCTGTCCCTGTAGATAGCCTGCAGTGCTGCAATGCCAATTCAATCCTCTGTTTGTCTGCTGAAGTTGCTTTACACTTTGCCTTCTTGGGTTGTTTGGCTCCATGAATTGTTCATCTGTTCGCTGAAAGCTGCGTCGAAATGAAAATGGCAAAATTCAGGCCAAGTCTGTGGGATCACAGGAGCAGAGTGCTGAGGTTAATTTCATCTTCGAGATAATCATCAGTAAAAACAGTTTATCTTGATTGAATAACATCTTAACTTGAAGGTCTGAACTAAAGCCACCTCATATATTCTCATCAATCTACCACAAAACTTTGTTACCCCAAAGCTGCTGCTGCCGCTGCTGCTACACCTACACAAATGAACTAATAAAAGGAGCAGATGCTCAAGCAAAAAAATTCTCATCTCCTCCAATTCCGGCGGGGCGGCTGCCGGAGGGGAGATCGGCGGTGTGCGAAACTAACCAAAAGAGAATGCCAAGACTAATCCCTGATCAAAATTTGACTGAAGCAAGCAAAAAGAAGCAAAATTGGAAGCGAGCAAACGACCAAGATCTTCTTGATTAAGCTAGCCGGTCGTGTCGTCTCTACTGCAGCTGTCGCCGCCGCTGCTCACCAGCGGCTGCACCGTGCCGCTGCTCCCGCCGGCGGCCGTGGCGCCACCTCCGGCGCTGCCGCTGCCGCTGCTGCTGCCGATGTAGGAGGTGAGCGCGGCCGCGAGCACGGCGGTGAAGTTGGGGTCGGACGCGATCACGGCCGTGGCCGCGTTCACCGTGTCGGCCAGCTGCGCGCCGCCGTCCCCGTTGGTGCCGGCCACGGCCTGCACGGCGGAGAGCTTGGACTGGTCGTACAGCTTCTGCCCGAACAGCTGCGGCAGCGACACCGGCCGCGCCGCCTCGGCCAGCGCCGCCTGGAGCTGCGCGGGCTCAGGCGCGCGCGGCGGCGACGCGCCCTGCCCCGGCGCCGTCTGCGTGAGGTCGAGCGTGACGGTCGGGAACGGCGCCGACGCCGAGATGGTGGCCACGCTGGAGGAGCACGGCAGCACGGCGCGCGCCAGGAAGTTGGACCCGCCCGCCATCAGCCCGTCGGCGCTGGGCATGGAGCCCGAGAGCAGCATGGAGGCCGCGGCCGCCGTGGTGGACGCCATCGCCATGGCCGCCGGCGGCAGCGGGTGGTTGTGGTTGCCCTCGTACGTGGTGATGAGCACCGTCCGGTCCTCGGCGCAGCGCTGCACCTGCTTCCGCACCGGGCAGCCGGCGGCCATGGTGCAGCGGTAGTAGGCGCGCGGGCACGGGTTGCCCTTGGCCATCTTCTGCCCGTACTTGCGCCACTGGCACCCGTCGCTGATCTGCAACACCGCCGGCAGAAACAGTTAAATAAACCCAGGCCATGCCAATATGCCATGCTCCATGGATGACGACGAGGGCGAGGAGCGCACGTACCATGGCGGCTTCGGAGCGGGCGCGCACGGAGACGCGGGCCTTGCGCATGGTGGCGGCGGCGGCGGCGGCCTCGGGCGGGGGCGGCTCGGGGCCCTTGGCGGCGGGGAGGAACTTGGGCACCTTGCTGGGCAGCCAGCCCTGCATGGCCTCCGGGCTGCCGCCCCTCTCGTGGTGACCGTGGTGCTCGAAGGACGGCAGCGGCATGAGCTCCGCCTTGCCCGCGCCGACGATGCCATGGCAGCCGGCGCAGTCCATGGCCGCGTCGAGGAGGGGGTTGGTGCTCGGCGACGCGTCGGTGCCGCCGCGCGCGGGGCGGGGCTCGTCGGGCGACGAGGAGGAGCCGAGGCTCATGAACTGCCGCGGCACGAGGGGGCCGTGGGTCCCCGCGTCGAGGAGGAGCTGCTGCTCCCTCTTCTCCGGTTCGAACTGGTGGGTGTGGCCGTGGGCGTGGCTGCTCCTCTGCTGCTGCTGCTGCTGCTGCATGAGCGCGATCTGCATGTGGAGGGAGCTGCACTTGGTGTTGGCGTTGGCGAGCATCGTCTTGAGCCGCTTGTTCTCCTCGTTCACCCGCGCCAGCTCCGATTTCGCGGCCGCGAGCTGCTCAAAGTCATAGGCACAGAAGAGAAGTCAAAAAAATCATCTAAAAATAAAAGTCAAACAAGTCAACGTTCCTTTTTTTGCCTTTCTCTATATTTAAGCGGCTGTAGATTTTTTTTTATGTGTGTAAGTTGATTTTTTTTTTGAAGAAGAAGAAGAAGAGACAAGTCCATTTAGACATTGAAAAAAGATCTCAGACGGCTTAGGCTTAGTCAACCTGACTATTTTTCTGTGTGGCTAGGCTAACACATTTTTTGTTAAAAATAACTCATGGGTCACAATATAATAGCGATGTAGTGCATATATTTTAGGAGAAAAATGTAGGGTTTTTGGCTAGTTTTCATCTGTTATAGACGATCTTCTGGATTTGAATTTCATGGTTTGTAGGATCTTAGTTGATTTCCTGTTGGAGAAAAAAAGGATCCTAGTTGATTTGAAAATGTGCAACTTAATTAGGTAGTACCACACAAAGCGCACCGGGGGAGATTAATTACCTCGGCCTTGGCCTCCCTGTGGTCCTCGTCGTTGGAGGAGACGCCGTCGTCGACGGTGGACTCCTCGCTGCCGCTGTTCCTCCTCCGGCCCCCGACGTGCAGCCCCATCTGCAGATCCATCCACAAGAACGCGATCGCGCATGGATCCAAAAACACACGTTAGGTCAATCAAATCAAATTTAGGAAAGTACGTTTCGATCCACACGATGCATCGGCGGATCACGTACGTCGATGGTGAGGTCGGGCTTCATGCCGAGATCGCCGTCCGCCGCGCCGGCGGCGGCATGGTCCTTCTTGTCCCGTTTCTCCTTCCTCATCTCCGTCTCGAAGAAGTCCATCTCGCCGACCACCACCCGGCGCTCCTGGTCGCCGCCTTCCCCGGCGCCGTAGCCCAGCCCGACCACCTCCGAGGGCAGCTCCCTGCCGCAGCCGAGGACGGCGTTCTTGCGCTTGAGGCCCGCGGCGACGAAGGACGAGGACGACGACTGATCCATTGACAACAAAGAATCGAGAGAAGGATGGCGATCGGTGGAGGAGGGGGAGACCGTGGATGGGTGGACGGATGCGCAGAGAGGCGTATAAGAAGGTGGCGGAGGGGGACGCGTGGCGGGTCGATCTGAGTCCATCATTCTAGGCAGTGTTGGCGACCATTGACCTGAGCAGTCAGAGCCCAGACGGAGGAGCGTCCACGATTTCTTTTCTGGAGAGAGGGCGGAAGTCCACAGCTCCAGCGCAGAGAACGGGGGTGGGAGGGGAGGAGACCTCGCATCGCGTCGCGTCGCATGCAGCCGGACGGACCCGGAGAGAGAGGGAGGAACGGAGCGAAATGGTCAACCGGCGCCGCGACTCGCATCGCATCGGTCGCCTCCCTCCCCTGGTGATCCGGGGGAACGGGGGCTACCGCTTCTCTTCTGTTTCAGATTGTTTGTTATTAGCGGACCAGCGATCCCGGTCGTCAGTTGACAACTTCTTCCACCAATTCATGGAACATGACATGCCCAAACTGCATTGTGCATTCAAAAAAAAACTAACAGAACATAATCCTAGGCAAATGCAAATATTACCTCCGTCCTAAACTAACTACCTTAAATTTGCCTAGATACGGATTTATATACACAAATGTAAGACAAGTAATTTGGGACCGGGGGGAGTACTTGACATCATCTTCTTTGTTTTGTTTCTCTCACAAATAATCTCGATCACGAAGGTGCGGGGATGATTAGACACGATTTATCTAGATAATCTTCTTTGTTTGCCTAGATACGGATTTACCTAGACTGGTGCGGGGATGATTCTTCGGGACCCATGAAGGTGCGGTTATTTTTGCTGTTGCGACACGTGTGCTCGTTAATTGTGCTAATGCTTTGGAAGCTGAGATGGCTGCGATGGATGAAGAACTCCGGCTCGCTCTTCACTCGTCGAACTTGCCACTGGTGGTGGAAACTGACTGTGCCGAACTGTTGCGGCTGATTCAGTCGAGGGATGTTGATGGATCGCGGTGCGTGTACCGACTTAGTGAGATCAGAATGATTCTGGCTCATGAGAGGTACATTAGTCTAGCTAAGATTAGTCGGCATGCTAGTGCTGCTAGCCACACCCTTGCTTGTATGGGATGGGTGCAACAGCGAACAACTTGTTGGCTTCCAAACTTCCCTAAAAAATAATCACGATTTGCCTGACGAGTTTTGCATGCGATTTATCGAAGGGTAAATTTGACAAAAATGACATGCCAGCTTGATTGAGAGGCGACGATAATGATCGAAGACGTCGTAAATCATGCTAGCCCCGTCACGATCATGTTTTTACTCTCTCGGGCCACTTCCCTCTGCCAAACATTATTGGCGAGCTATATCTTCCTCCTCGTCATGTCCTTCTTCCAGCCTTCGATACGATACGATGTGATCTAATACCCTGCCTGTATCGGGGATATCTATTTGATGACGGCAAGGTCCCGAAAACAACACCTCGCTCCTTAACGCCTCCAAGTAACTACATTGGCACCAGTCGGTGTGGGCCAAGTGTTCCATTGGCAATCTCTTTGGTCGGCTTCGTATGTCCACACCTTTCGGGTATGGTATCTCACACTGTGTATCATCATTCGCTACACTATGGTTGTAGGTCTTGTATCTCATCGTTAGGTTAAGCAAGAACTTCTAACTTTGCTTACTTCGGTGAATAATTATCTTAAAACATGAAAACCACCAACATGAAAGATGCTCATATTACCATGGAGGAAATGATCTGAATTCTAGAA